GACTTTGTTGTATTTATATTTAATTGGTGATTGTATGTTGGAGTGATTCGCCCAAGATTTTTTTTTTCTTTGTTTTGTTTGGATGAATTGGAGTAAGCAGGGTACTGTGCTCCTTTGTTCGCTAGTTGGCAGCACTTATGTGCTCACCACCTGTCTCATGGTGGTTGTGATAGAGAATGAGAGTGGCTGCACAGATCTTTGTTAACTGTTTATAAAGAGCATTTATGGCTGAGTCAGGCTCTTTTTGGTGGTCGTTTATTGTTGGCCAGTTGGTGGAGAAGGAAGTAAGTGATGGCTCTCATTCAGTAAGTGGGGCTGCAGGAGGTACGAGTGGGGTTGTGTTGTATGTGCATGGTTGCTGTCTCCCATTCACTTAGACAAAGGCAACAATCCACAAACCATCAAAAAAGTAAAAGCAAGTGGACAAAAAATACACTGCATAAACACAGGAAGAATAACCAAAAAGAGAGAGAGAAAAAAAAAGAAAAAACAATAAATAAGAGAAAATATTTAAAGAAATAGTTTAAAAAGCCAGGAAAAAATTGTATAAAAGAAGGGAAAAAAGAAAATAAACAAAACCCACAATATCTGGGAGGGAACAATAAGAGAAAAGAGGTAGAGAGGAGAATAATGAAGAAAAAATGGCAAAAATGCAGAAACAAATCCAAGGAATGGGGAGAAACACAAAAAGAAAAAAAATGGGAATCAGGGACAGGGAAGAGAAAAAAGGTGAAAACTAGAACCTGGGAAAAAACAAACTAGCAACCTCACTGCTGTCGAGCTGGATCTGACTCATAGCAACCCCTCATTGGGTTTCTGAGATGGTATCACTATGGAAGTAGATTGCTCAACCTTCCTTCCGAGGAGTGGCTGGTGGATTTGAACTGCCAGGAGTCTGGTTAGCAGTCAAGTGCCTTAGGCACTATATTACCAGAGCTCCTAGAACCTGGAAAGGGAAGAAAAATGAATAATATTTAAACAGACAAAAACGAACAAATTGACAAAGGAAATATAATATGGACAGAGTAGGGCAGGGCACCCAGGCAGATGGAATTCCTGCTGACCCAGAGGGTAAATGGGAATGAGGGATGCCTGCACCTCCATTCACCAGGGGGGTGTGGGGTATAAAAATAGCAAGGGGAATATTGCACCTTTCCAGTCTTTAGTGTCAGGTATGTTGTTGCAGTCCCCAGTAAGTGAAGCCTATTCTTAGGTCCCTGGAATCTGAGAGAACAGTGTCCCTTTAAATATACAAAATGGTCAAACCTCTTGTAAACATTCAAAATGGCTGTGCCCTCCAGACAGCCAAAATTCCACAGCTCAGCCCATCTCCCTCTTTGCTGCTCCCCCTTTTATTCACCAGCCACCAGTACAGTACTCCATGCAGCCCTTGATTAATAGGGCTGAGTTTTGGGTTAATTCTTAGATCCTAACACCATTTGGCAATCTCCATGCTGTCTGTTCTGTCAGGATCGCTGACATACCACAGCTCCAATGTCTCCTTTTTTGGTGTTTTCATGTGAGTTATTCTAGTAGTTGGAGTTTAGTCCACTTGTGTATCCTTCCTTTCAAAGCTCAGGGCTCCAGAATTATCTTCCCTGTCTGTGTTAATTGGTTCACCTTTTCTTTGTTGAAGAGGGTCTGTGTAGTTTGTCTGCCTATTCCACCACCTTACTGGAACTCCAATGACTTTAGTTTTTGCAGGAGCAAAGCAAGGGACATCACAGTCTATGTTCAGGTTTTGAGGCACTGCTAAACTGTTTTCCATAGTGCTTGCACCATTTCACATTCCCACCAGCAATGGGTGAAGATTCCACATTCTCCACAACCTCTCCAACACCTATTATTTTCTGCTTTTTGGATCATTGCCATTCTAATGACAGTGAGGTGGTATCTTATCATGGTTTTGATTTGCATCAATATTAAGCATCTTTTCATGTGCTTATTCACCATGTGAATATCCTCTTTAGGTAACTGTGTGTTTAAGTCCTTTGCCCAATTAAAATAATTTTTTTTGTCTTTTTTTTTGCTAATGATACAAGTATTTTTTCATTCATAAGTTTGCTGCTAGTAGTTAGCAGGGAGCTCTGGTAGCATAGTGCCTAAGGCATTTTACTGCTAACCAGAAAACAGGTGGATCAAATCCACCAGCCACTCCTCAGAAAGAAGGTTGAGCAGTCTACTTCTGTAGTGATACCACCTTGGAAACCCAAGGAGGTGTCACTATGAGTCATATCCAACTCAATGGCAGGGTGTTTGGTTTTTCTTTTTGTTTAGTACTTATCAGGGTGAGTGGGAGGTATGGAGAAAGAAGACTCAATGTTTAGGAGATACTGAGCTTCTGTTCAGGGTGATAGTATAATTTGGGAATAGATAAAGGTGATGGCTGAACATCATGATGAACATAATTAATGTCATTGAATTACACATGTGAAGATTATTGAAATGTCATGTTTTGTTGCATATACATTTATCATGATAAAAAAAGAGGTTGCTCCTGTGCATAACTAGTCAATGAAGATAAGTCATTTAGTGTCTGCCTTTGAGGGCAATATTTATTGGGTCTTTTAGGTGTTGGAAATGTTTTAAATTTTCATAAGAGTTGTTACATGGGCATAGACATTTAGAAAATCAGTGAGCTGTACACAATCCTGCTTGTATATTATGTCTCAATAACAAAGTAAAACCAAAAACCAAACCAGTTACCATTGAGTCAATTCCTATTTATGGCTACCCTGTGTGTGTCAGAGTAGAACTGTGCTCCATAAGGATTTTAAGAGCTGATTTTTCAGAAGTAGATTGCCACGCTTTTCTTCTGAGGCACATCTGGGTGGACACAAACCAACCTTTCTGTTACAGCCAAGCATTAACTGTTTGTACCACCCAAGGATTCCATAACAAAATAAGTCCATCTAAAAAGCATGGTGGTCTTGTCATCATGAGGACACTGGAAGCCCTTTATAAACTACTCATACATTTTTTTTTTTTTAGGATTTGGGTGAAGATTTACAGAGTAAATTCACTTTTCATACAGCAGTTCACATATACCCTGTCTCATGTCATTGACCAAAATTTACAATGCAGCAGCTCCCCTCCCACTTCCTCCCCATAGCCACCTCCTCCCAGTGTCCATCCCTTCATACTCTTCTGCACCCTGAGCTATCTCCCTGTGCATAAGCAGCCCTTCCTTCTCCCATGATTGTTCTCTCCAGGGCGTGTGTCTACTTGAGGTAAATGTTTAACTCACATGCCTGTACTTTGTTTGGCTGGAAACCACAGTTGTGGGTTCAATTCCAGACCTGAAGGGCAACTAGGGGCCATAGTCTCAGTGGTTACACCAGGCTCCAGTGGACCACCAAACCTGGTCCCCACCTTCTTTTTTTTTTTTTTTTTTTTTGCCTCCAAACGATTTTGAGTTTTGTACCACATTGTTCTCCCTCTTTATGTAGGATCTCCTACATCCCTTCCAAGTGGATGGCAGTGGTAGCTGGGCACCATCTAGTTCTTCTGGTCTCATAGTTGTATAGGTTGCAGATCGGATACTCATACATTTTTAAAAGTGCAGGACATATTCAGGAGTTAGAGGTGTGACACTTTTATTGCCTTGAAGCATCTCTCTTCAGAAGCAAGACTCTAAGTCTTATGGTCTCTCTTCTTCTGTGGCTCCCTCTTCCTGCCAAAAGAGTTGCCTACTATGCAGGCTGTGATTTTCACTGTACCTTCAACATTCTATCTCTTCATCTAGGCCCTTCACACCACCCTGGGCATCTAATTTTTCTCTTGCAATTTTTATTCTATTTCATCTCCTACATCTTTGCCAGAAGCAGGACCAGGGCACTAGTAACCTGGTGACTTGAGGTCTGGAAGTGCTGACAAGGATTGTTTCCAAGGCTGGCACTAGAGGGTCACACTGGGAGAGGACGAAGCAGAGAGTGTGCTGGCTGTCCTTGCAATGAGAATATTCAAGTTAGAAGGCAGAGCAGCATGTCCACACTGGCAGCAGTGACTCTGGAACATTGAGCAGGCCCTGGTCCCTCTGGCATTTATGGTGGTTGTACAGAGGAGGGGCAAATATTGAAGAGTGTCCTAGGGCTGCTCTAAGCTGAGGCTCAAAGTCTGAGAGCAGATGTCATAGCTCAGAAAACCTCTCAGAGCAGAGCTGGCATTGGGTGAGCCAGAAAGAAGGAAGAAGCACAGGCCTTCTTGCAATAAGCCACATTCTCTCTCAAACTCCGCTCCCCTTTTGTTTAGCAAAAATAAAAGAAATAAAACAAAGGAAAAATAGAAGGAAGAGGAGGGGTAGAAGGGCTTATTAGGCAAATTCAGAAACATTTATGTACTATTATAATTTTTAGAGAGGGTTAAAATACTCAAAGACAATTCTGGTTATTGACTTTTCAGAACATATTACAGTATAAGAGTAATGCTCACTCCAGTTCTTCTTGCTTGGAAAATAGAAAAATAAAAATACTGGCTAAAGTAAACCATGTGTTCACAATATTTTCAAACACAGCAGTCCTTGGGCAAAATCCTTGGCGTTTGGATAGCGCTGGCAGAACTTTGATCTTTTTTCCATACTCTGTCATTAAATTTTTTCAATGCCTCTCCCCAGAAAATTTATGATCAGTTGTTTGTAAACTTGTAAGGAGCTGCTATGAAATGCCTATGTTACACAGTACCTGCCATGACAAAGGACCTCCTGAGCATCAGGTCCATTTTAGTCCTGCACACTCCCCTAGGAGGCAGGGTGGGTTTATCTCTGCTGTGTGGACAAGGCAACTGGGGCACTGAGAGGTCTTCAAACATGCTCAGCATCTCAGGGTCAGATTGGGGTGGGTTACAAAGGCCCTGCTCCTCCTGTCTTCTGTTTGTCCCTCTGAAATAGAATCCTCACATATGCTACAGTTTAAAAGCACATTCTCAATCTGTCTCCAATTTCCTCGCATTGTGCAGGTACTTACCATTCATTTTCTGTCCTTATTCCATTCTATCTCTCAAAGATGCTGAGCTCAAGAGTAGCAGCCAGGATTTCCAGAAAGCCACTGAGGAGCACCAGGAAACTATCTCCCCTGATGTAATGGAAAGCATCCAGGTAGCGGAATCATTCACCCACACCTGGGGTACAGTGGGTGGCTGGAGATGACCTGTGATGTTGTGACATGTTTCCTTCGTACTGAGGATATTACAGAGACATTCTAACATCTGGTGTGGAAAATGCCTCACTGGCACTAAGATTAGGGTGTTAAACTGCTTGGGGGAAACAGGGATCCATGAGTTTATAATAGACAAAGCCTCACTGGTATGATCAAGATTCAAGATCAGCATAGAAGTTCATGGCTTCTCGGCTTTCCTGCCCACCCTTGCCCTGATACTAGAGGCTCAAGTAGAGAAAGTTGCTCATTATAAAGTGACATAGGAAGTTCGTATTTTCTGAAAAGATACACACACACACTATCCACATACTCAAATGAAATCATGTTTAACTTTCTGCCCTTGATGATCCCTGAAAGCTGAAGATGCTCCAACCACAGCTCCTTGGAGGCTTGTGGTGTCTCTTTGTCTCTATGCAACATCAGGAGCCCTGCCTTCTCCTGCTATCAGCAAGATGTGGCAGAGCTCTGTGCTTGCTCTGCTGCCATCCTGACCTTCAAAAAGAAGGGGTAAACCCACACCAAAGGAGTCTCAAATCACTCACATTATAGGTGAAATTGGATTTGATGGATAAGCCAGGAATTTGAGCATTACTCCATCTCTGCCATCTGATGACTGTTAACAGGTTCCTAGTAACACAGATGCTTACATTGACTGGGCCCTGAGTCCCCATATGGTCCTGAAGGGCTACAGGGTATGTACCTGTGTAATCAGGGAAAATGACACTCAGGTTGACCTCCTCTTCAAAAGGCCTTACCAAGGAGATGGGGCAGGGATGGGAATGGATTTCCTTCCAGATTAATTTGGTCACCCTGGTCCTAAATCAACCTTGTGTGTAGCCAGAATCCCAAGGCATGTCCCACCACACAGCTCCTTCTGCTTCTGGTCCTATAACTCCTCTCTCGAGCTAGGCCCAGGACTCCAGGCCCTTCCTGTTTGTTAACTTGGCAAAGAACAACAGCAACAGAATTTTCTTTTTGTCCATCAACTCATATAAAGAAAATCTTGGGAAGAGGGGGAAAAAAAGGGGACTGAGTCTTAGCTCTAGGCCATCTGGATTGTCCACACTGATTTTCACATCGTCTTTATATTCTGACTCCCAAATTCACAAAATATTCCAAACTGTGGCTGGTTGAGGGGGCCACATTTCAAGTGCTCATTATTCTATGCAAAGAGATTGGTTACTCACAAGGTCAGGCACTCTACCAGGTACTGAGAGTATCCATGAGACTAAAACACAGCTGTATCCTTCAAGAAGGTTGTGGCATGGTGAGAAAGAGGAGGGCCCCCAAATTTAGTATGTGGAATTAAGAATGGAAAATATCTCAGAGAAAGGGACTGAGGAACATTTTTAATTTTTTTTTTTTTTTTTTTTCAAAGCAGATTGTATGACATGGATTAGATTGAGGGAAATGAAGATAATTAATAAAATTGATTAAACAAAATTTTTTAAAAGCTTAGTAAGGGGTCTTTTACTTCTGGCAAAGACAGAGTCATGGAGACTGGATTTGCCCCCCTGCCTGAAACAATCAAAAAGTGGCAAAATTTATGAAACAACAGTTTTTAAAGCACTAATGCTGAGGCTATAAAGGGCAGAGATGCCTGATACCTGAAAGTGTTTCAGACCATAGCCCAGGGAGGGAGAAACCACTGGACTCCCCAAGTCAAGGAGTCAGATCTGTAAGTCCAGGGAGAATAAAGCCAATAAAGTTTTCAGGACAGAGGCAAGATCAAAGATGAAAGACAGGGTTGTCACTATTGTCACTAGGGTTGGTGTCACCCAGTGCAATATTTTATGATATCACATCCCCCACCCTAATCTCTTCCTATACTGGATCATACAGAATCCTTAGTAATTTTTATTATCAATTTGTATCATTAATAATATATGATATATTTGTAAATTGCTTAAATGTGATATTTCTTAGATTATGTGAATATTAACAACAAAATTATCTTGTGAAACTGTCTACATTGAATTACACCATTATTAGTTACAATATTATTAGTAACTAAGTAGAAACCTTTGATTTCTCTCCTTCTATTTCTTTAATTAATATTTCAGTCTCAAAAAAGTTATTGTTCACAAATGCTAATTACCACAATATTGTAGCTAAAACAGGAGAAATTTGACAGAATCAGAGACTATAAAAACACAGACAGGCAGCAATGAAAACAACAGTACAAACTTGTAGCACATGCAGGCAAAACCACATTATTTGAAGTATTGTTGTAGTTGGGTAATATTGACAGGCCTGACTGTCAACATTAAAAGGTTCAAAATGTAAATTAGTATAGTGTTTTAGCCACAGGTATCTTAATACATGTAAGCCACACTTAAGAAAATGTTTTTATTGTTATAACTAACAACAGGAATATTTTTAGAAAACATAATAAATTTCTGCTGAAACACTGCATGAAAATTTTATAAGCAGTCATTTTGGTGTCACCCCCTCTGACAGTGTCACCCGTTGCAGTCTGCACTGCCAGCACTCTCATAATGATGACATTGAAGAGAGAGCTGTGGAGAGAGATCAACAGAGGACACTCTTGAGTATTTAGCTGAGTACTGATCAGTGTATGTGGGCAAGGAAAGTACGTGAGGTGAGGCTAAAGAATTAGCGACACCCAGCCATTCCATTAACAGGTATACACCCTATAGAAGTGAGAGCCATGACAAGAACAGATATATGCACACCCATGCTCATCGCAGCACTATTTACAATAGCCAAAAGATGGAAACAACCTAGGTGTCCATCAACTGAGGAATGGATAACCAAACTGTGGTACATACACACAATGG